CGCCGTGCGTACGACATTCATCAACAACTAGTGGCAGCAAACTTCCGGACCCAGGTCTTCATAGCCAGTCTAGTAGGTGATGCTCTCCTCTGCACACCTGATATAGAAAACACAGTTGTGTGACGAAGCCGTGCGATGTGCAACACCACCTTAATGATGATTTGACTATCGCTAGAATGGCTTGCTCTACATTGACATGCGATGTGTACCCTCATATTGGGGTGTCTATAGATATTGGGGTGTCTATATCACCGTCTATAGGTTGCTGCGCGATATTAGCAACGTGTGTAGGCGAGACATAAAGCATCGGCCCCCTTTCGCTTGCTAACATATCATCGTGCTGCCACGTCTTTGCCCCATGCCACCGACTGTCCTAAATTGCATAGACTAGGACTACCGCAATGCGACACAACGTGCTCCACCACGCTTGACCTCCCCATCCGTCATCTATACACGTCGATGTATAGACGCTAGTCGTTTCCATCCTAGGTTGACTCATGGGGGTTGATATACGATGTATATAACCATATAGCACCCACCTACAACAAGTATTAGATACCACACTGAAGTGCGTCCGCTTGGTACTACCACCAGGCTTCCATGCCCAGCCCATCGTCCTTGACAGATGCCTATCGTAAATCAAGCAAACAATCGTGAGAATTTGGGACAACCATAAGGAATTCAGCTTGAGCTATAAATCAACTGGGATAAAAGTGCCACGTAATTTCGGTGTTCGGTTGCTGGTGGGGTGAATAGAATTCATCATGGTAACACAGCTCGATAGGCTATTGATTGGCAATCAGCATATATATGTCTCAATGCACAAACTGGTGCTTGAGTTAACGTACCACCCACCACCAGCAACAAGGAATGAGGTGTTGCATGTTTTCGAAATGCATTCCGGAGCTACACGCTAGCACCATGGACAGTCGTACACGATAGCTGTGTAATCTCATTCTAATCAATGAATTCCGCACATGTGGGCGACAACACGCCTTAAAAAAAAGCATACATAGACAAGACAAGCATGCATGGACAACTAAACACAACCACACAACCAGCGCAACAAGGCACGAACCGGAGAATGGTACCCGTGCACAGACACCAAGTCAGCGAGACGACAACCCCCTCGTATTCGGTTTAAACCACTTTGTCCACAGTGTACGGGGCAGTGGAAGTGTCAATCAACACGAAAACCTGGATGCAAATTCGCATGTAGAGACCAATTCAACCAGCTCGTGCATATATCCGTCCTTACCGTCAAGAAGTAGGCTATCTTGGTTGTGTCGAACCCGCCCACCTCGGCGTCTTCCTCTGCCCCCTGAAGAATATATGCGATCGTAGATAATAAAAGTCAGCAACTAAAGCTCTACTTACTCAGGCAATGAAAATATCGAGAGTAGGAGGACAAGGTTGATACAACGTTTTTCTGAGAAGAATCATGCACAATCACATACAATAATAACACACGCGCGTATCCGATTGCAGATAAACGTAGCGATGCCATAAGGTCCATGGATTCGAGTATGGATAACAAGCATGTGCAACCGAATCATTTGAAGCACCAGGTCGTTTAGTGTGCAACTTCGCAGTCTTTGTACATTGAAACTCTTACCGGTTTATTGTCGAGAGTGGCTGTGGTTGCTCGTGCTGCATTGTCGTCGTCCGTTGTGGGATGTACGTCCTTGAACGTTTCACTGAAGCAATGAAACACACGTGGGGTTAGGACGAACCTGGTAGCAGTAACGTGTAAGTGATGGTGTTGTGATATTGAAGGTGGGATCGATCTGGATATATCGGGTGGTACCTCTAGGTATGGCTTAAGCCCAACACATAGTACGTTACAGCTACTTTATATCCAACCTTCAATTCCTGCTATATATACATGGTTCCGGATGGACGCAATCATCACAAATCAACAAACGAAGCCACAGATCCAAAACAGATTATATATATACATAATATACATATATATATATATATATATGTGTGTGTGTGTGTGTGTGTGTGTTTGTCGTTCGAAATTTTCGATACCTCAATATTCCAGAATACAGGTAGGTATACCATAATCTAATGCACACACGTCACCCAGCTCTCCCCCATACCCCGCGTGAGCTATACATAAGAACACTAGAGCAGCTGACATACTAACAAGGAAATCCCAAATATAAAATATATATATAAATTACTCTACCCAGTTTCTGGAGACGACAGTGTGACCAATATCCACGCAGCTGTTAAATCACAAAAATAGAGAATGCACTATCCATACGCAGGCGAACCTACACAACAACCCAGCCCGCCCTATGCTCTATGCGTGCGTCAAGCACAGCAAAGTCAAGGGTCATCCGTACAACGCCCACAAACAATACCTCACGACTTTGAAGCGGATTGGATGGCCCACATCGTAGTACATTTTGTGTTCGCCATCCGCCAGGAAGTACCAGGTCTGCGTCTCTTCCTCAAAGAACACATTGTCACGCATGAAGTGCGACGGGATGAAGATGTCGTCGAAGAAGCCCAGCGACACTGAGGCAGAAGCGAGATACATAGTGTAAGTGGCGATGAGATATACTGCCGTGTGACAAACTGTTGGAGCATGGGGGTTCGATGGATGTAATATGTAGGTGGATACAAGACACATGGGGTTGGTTCGACGGATGCTATACGTAGGTGGATACAAGATACATGGGGTTGGTTCGACGGATGTCATACGTAGGTAGATACAAGACACACGGGGTTGGTTCGACGGATGCCATACGTAGGTAGATACAAGACACATGGGGTTGGTTCGACAGATGCTATACGTAGGTAGATACAAGACACATGGGGTTGGTTCGGCGGATGGTATACGTAGGTAGATACACAACTCATTGAGTTGACAGTGACCTTATATATAAATCCATGGATAGATACATACAATTCTGACACAGATACAGGAAAACCATAATCGTGAAGTGCATTTCGACACACATATCAACGTGGCACACATGCACAATTGGGGGAAGAGTGATTGAGGATGCGTGGGCGAGACACGACATGAACAGACGTGGGTGAGAACATCATAGACTTATCCCAGAGTCGAAGTCTATTCGTGTATATGTGTGTGAGAGAGGTGGGTGAGAACATCAGAGACATATCCCAGAGTCGATGACTATTCGTATATGTGTGTGATGGAGAGAGATGGGTGAGAGCATCAAAGACATATCCCAGAGTCGAAGACTATTCGTATATATGTGTGTGGTGGAGAGAGGTGGGTGAGAATATCAGAGACATATCCCAGAGTCGAAGACTATTCGTGTATGTGTGTGTGGTGGAGAGAGGTGGGTGAGAACTTCAGAGACATATCCCAGAGTCGAAGACTATTCGTGTTTGTGTGTGTGGTGGAGAGAGGTAGAGGTAAGGAATGAAAGCGCGATAGGGTCACTAGCAAGAGACATAGTGGCTGAGAATGTTTGCAAAGCGTGGAGAAAGGCAAAGTGCCACGGGCGCATGTTGTATTGCAGTTGTGTATGTGAACGCTAGTGTTCGTGGTTGCCATGATGAGAGTATTTGAGTTCCCATTGAACCGAAAAGCGATAAAAATTGTAACGGAAGCACAGCCCAGAAGGGTCATGTCAAAGACTATGCATCGGACCTGATTCATGAGATATACCACGGCAATAAGTAAATAGCACCAGGGAGGTAGTACACGCATAAGCGAGCCAAACACTCAAGACAAACAATTACAATTTAACTCTAAGGCTACGAAGATGACGCGCCTACACAGAGCGATAGACCAACAAATGCAAGTTACCACACACGCATCCAAAGCAATGGCAATTGAGAACAGCTCTCGCTAACTCACACCCAAGAAAATACCCAATGAACAATTGGAGATGAGATTCGCCATAGGTGCTTTCATGCACTACCCCAACTATATGAATAAATAGAAATTTGTATTTATACATGGACAAGACTCGCATACTAAAAGGCAGCAAAAGGTGCAAAACAGAACCAATGTTAACCATCTTCGAGAGACATCCTATTGGAGAATTGCAAAACAAAACTGCAGACAAAAAAATGCTGGCGTGTCATTTGATATACAGACACGATACACTTCCACACAGAACATACAGATTGAGAAGCTATTTACTGGTACATGATCATACGCACACACCCAGAGGCAAAAACCCTTGTAACTCCATTTATACATATGCGGGTGCCACCTCTTTCTCGGTTCGAACTCGAGCTCTGCCCGTGCTTAGAGCTTCCCACTTCTTTAAAGCAGGACAGAGTGAAGAAACTTACCCTGTAGACCGTCCTTGCCATTTTGAAGCACCTTGCCTGAGATAGTCTCCCCAACAAACGGCCTAAACACAACGTAGCGAAACTTGACATGCACATGGGCCGATCCATCGAGTGGGTAAAGGTACTGATCCCCTTGTTCTAGGATGTCGTACAATGCAATAAACAAGCCCACGTCTTTCTTCACCTGTGCGTTTGGGAGTATACAAACATATACAGATGGGCTTAACATATATACAAACCACTTGCGTACCATTGTGGTGACCAAGCACCGACCAGTTAGAGCATGAAGATGCCAAAGCAATGAAATGATAAGTATTTATCAATATATATATGTATACATGTATATATACCCATGATATACACACATCCATACATAAATAAAAACATAAATACATACGTACATTTATTAATACAGGTAACATTCATTAATACAGGTAACATTCATTAGTACAGGTAGACATAAATAGATACATACGTACACACACTCATTTCCACACCCACACCCAAAGACATAAATATATACATACATACACCCTTTCATTTCCACACCCACACCCAAAGACATAAATATATGCATATATATATACATAAAAAATTATATACATATATAAACAAACAGGCCCTCTCTCTCTCTCTCTCACACACATATATATATATATATATATATGTATGTGCACTTATTTATAATATATTATAATGTAATAAAATAGAATAATAGAATTATATATAT